CTGCAGTGTGTCACCACCAAAGACATGTAGCAGAGACAAGGCTCCTGCCCAGGGACCTGAAGAACTTTTATTTAGTGAATCTGCTTCATGTGGATGCAGATTTGCATGAGAAATGTGTGTGTGAAACTCTCTCTCCCGCCTTCCTTGTGTTTCTCAGCCTCTCTCATGCTGCTGGAGGCATCACCTGGGGTGGGGGTGTGGCTGGGCTTTAGAGTTTTGCTGAAGTGCTGATGTTTTGCCCTTGCTTAGATGCCTATCTCTCTGATTGGCTACCGTAGGGGAATTCCTTTACTTTAATTGGCGGTCAAGCAGCGTTTCTGCATCCTTATTGGCTGCTGAGGGGAATTCCAGGGAAGGAATTTCCTCCCAGTGTTAAACAGGCTCTACGTCACTGTCCAGGTCTTTTCTACATGTTCCTCTATCTAGACTCAAGTTCTCAGAGCGTCTCTCAGCTTTCCCGGCCATCAGTTAAACACCCACACTTGCAGGCTCTAACCAGGACACGTTTGGTATTTTGCTTGATGAATGAATTAAATAGTTAATGAGTTATTAAATAACTGTCCATTCATTTTCTTGACAGGCTGGCCAGAGGCTGAATCACTGTTTTATGTCATTCTGAGGCCGTGTGTAGCGCGGCAGACATGTAGTTTTAAGGCAGCACATATTCTAGTGTCAAATGAAAAAGGTTTCACTCCTGCACACCGTCCAGATTTTTTGCAGCCTGTAACGAGGCAGAAAACACACATCAGCTATCTTGAGCCACGAGGCAGTTTGAGGATGAAGGAGGCGGCGTCCACCCTGTCATTATCACAAGCAGGAAATGTATCTACGCTTTGTTAACTGTAGAGTCCACACTACTGTGTTCTGTAGCTGATGACACACCGTCATCTCTCTGACCTCCCACTCCCGCTCTTCTTTTAGCTCCATAGCTCATCCTCAATTCCTCGGCCCCTTTCTCTGCTGCCATCCATCATGTCTCCTCTGCCCTCTCCCCCAGCTCGCTGTCCAAGTGCAGTCGGTGCCCAGCAGATGAAGAGAAGTGGAAAAAGCCTGCCAGTGTCCGGCTAACTGTTTATTTATAAAGGTGTCCTCACAACCTGATAGTGGAGGTGGGGTGCAGGGAGGGGCTGCCCTGTCTGGAGATATATATTTATCACTGAGCAGCAGCCAGTGTCCAGTCCTCAGAAAGAACATTTACTGTGCAGCCTAGCAGTGCGGGCCTGCCTGGACCTGGACAGTCCAACGCTGCACATATGTACTATTACAGGTGATCACTACTGTAGCTGATGTTGTGTTTTAACTCAGATGGGTTTGAAAAGAAACTGATGTCAGGTCATTTTTAATGTCTTTTTTACTGTGCACCAGTGGTTCCTCGCCATTTTGGCGTGTGACCCTCAAAAACAAAGTCCTATCTCATCATAACTCACAACATCAGTGTTATTGTAATTTGGTTGTGTGCATTTCATTTAGCACAGAGCAGTGGTCCTCCTCCTTAGGCTGGCTTATTTATTCATGGACAATGCTTCCAGTAACAGTGTATAAATACTACAAATGTACAAGAATACGCAGAATGACTTTTGTGTAACAGAGATCCATATTTTTGTTCTGCTGAGCATCCCACAACCCCACTGGGTTTGGAGGGCCGGACCGCCCGGCTGGCCGCCGCTGGTAACTGCAGCGAAGAGCTGAAGCACCCATTAGGGATGTCACAGTAATCATAAGGAGGCAACATCTGTCAACATCAGTCTTTTTGACTCCATCTACCTTTGGCACTGTGTTGTGTCTTTATGGTTTTGGAAAGATGAATTAGCCTCTGGGATTATTTTCCTTTTTTTGAGCTGACATTAACACACAGTAGAAAACAAGGCCTGAGCATTGACTTTTGAGTTAGGCAGTGACTTAATTTTGTACCCGGCTGCTTTCGGGCTCACTGGTGGGCACACTAACTTTTGTATTCAGTCAGAAACCCGCTCTATTAGTCTGATGAGGAACCCCATGTAATTATCACTGCTTCTATGGAGCAAAAACAACATGCAGCAAATTTTAAAGCAGTTTGTTTTTGCTCAGCACACAGAGATTGTTATGGCAAGTTTCTCCTGTTTCATTTTGAATCGGGACACATACGGTGTGATGTACCAGCATCAGTAAATCAGAAGACTGGGGTTGGTGCACTTCCCTTCATTAAAAGGACATCATATTGGCATCGTGTGTGTGTTAGATTTCTAAATGGATGCTTTAACATACGTTTGGCTCATCTCAGCGCCCAAAAGAAGTGCAAAGATTTGAGTGGCTTTTAATTTGATTACCCGTCCTTCTGCCCTCACAGCCAAACATAATCAGCATGTGGGAAAGTCAGTCATTCCCTGCACATCATGAATCTCAGCTCTCACTGGTGAAGTAATTGCAGAAGAGTAAGAGGCTGGGAAATACCCTGACCAATAGGAAGAGTCACACAGACATCATTAAAGTGCCTGTTCAGAACAAAGGTGTCGCCATGGTGCTCGGTGAACTGGTTTCAGCCGACACAAGTCTCCCCCTGACTGGCCTCAGCTTCCACAGGCTACATGTTAGTCTTGTAGCTGTGGGCGAAGTTAGAGGAGCGAGCGAGCTGTAACTCCCCTTGTCAAGCATGTGTAACAGCGCTTTGAGTCGTACTTCTTTGATGTTTTTCAACCAATCAGGAGGCCCGCTGCGAGGCAAGTGGAGCTCCTGCTTTTGTTAGTTTCACACTGTTTCCTGCATTCCTGTTATTTCTTCTTCCTGCTGCCTGGCCTCGTCTTGTCTCTCTCCCAGGATCCCTCGCCCACTCTTTTTCAGTCTACCTGTTCTAAATGTCCTTGTCCTTCTCTCTCCACAACCCCTCCATCTGTGTCAGAGTGATCAATATGGTGGGGAGGTGGCATTGGAGGTGTTGAGCTAATGACAGCTTTCCGTCCCACTCCGAGTGGAAGATTCCTCATCTCTCTGCATCTCTTTACCGCTCCGTCTGTGCATGTCCCTCACTCTCTGCGCTGACAGAGCTTCTTTATCCCACAGCAGAGACAGCTCAGCGGGCCTTTCACAGCAGCACTCCCCCGCCATCATCGGCCTATTGTCATGCGATGAATAGAAAGGCTGTGTTCTTGATAGGTGAGTGAACTGTGTGAGGAAGAGAGGAAAAAATGGCCTCGCCAGTTTTGGAGATTTGTGAGAGAAGCTGTGTCAAACCTCCGATGGAGGAGGAGCAAAGAGAGGACCTGAAGAAGCAGTTTTGGTAAATAAAAGCTGGTCAAAGAAGAAATGGAATGTAAAAGGCATCCTGAGACCAAGAGAGGTGGAGAGAAGCAGTGAAAGAACAAGCAGAAGCATGAACAAGAAAGAGAAACAGCTGACAGACTAAACGGCAGAGGAAAGCAATAAGGAGGAATAGGAGGGCTGTTGCCTGTGGCAGTGCAGCTGAAGGTAGCAGACATGAAAGGGATGGAGTTTACCCTGGCAGCCATCTTGGACTGTTCTAGAGAGGGCTTGACAAGTTTCACTGCTCCATGTAGTGGCATCAATAGGAAAGTGAAAGAACAAGCAGAAGCATGAACAAGAAAGAGAAACAGCTGACAGACTAAACGGCAGAGGAAAGCAATAAGGAGGAATAGGAGGGCTGTTGCCTGTGGCAGTGCAGCTGAAGGTAGCAGACATGAAAGGGATGGAGTTTACCCTGGCAGCCATCTTGGACTGTTCTAGAGAGGGCTTGACAAGTTTCACTGCTCCATGTAGTGGCATGAATAGGAAATATATTTTGAAGTGTAATAAAAAAAAAACTTTGATGAAGCTAAAAATGTTGTGGAGCAAGAAAAGAAGACGAAGCTGTTTTACTTCTCTTCCTGTAGTTGACTCTTTAGATAAAAGCTTTAGCAGCAGGAGAGCTTCACAGTGGCCCTGCTGACTAAAAACTAAGTATTGCCAAAGGGAAAGCTAGCAACAACAGAGTCTCTGTAGTTGGTCAAAAGCTACCTGGGAGGCCTTGTGTTGTTGTTGCCCAGGAAGTGGTGCAGTGCTTTCACTTTCTCCAGCTGGGCATCTGCGACGGGGCCAAACTGGGTCACAGTGGGGGTCTCTCACTTCTCTCTTTCATTCTTTCTTCTGTCTCTCTGACCAAAACCCTTGGGAGAAATCATTTGTGTTGTGAGGGGATCCTCTTCTCTCCATGAAAGGGCTGCATGAATAAGAAAGCCCCTGCGTTCAGCCCTCCACACTGACAATGGACACAAACACACACACCTGCACACACAAACACACACACTCAGTTTGACCCCTCTCACAATGGCGAAGGCATGCATTCATTAGCAGTTCTGAGAAAGCTTTGACTAGCTCGGCATTGTTGGCTAATCCACAGTCCCGCTGTATATCGCCTTCACTCTCCATCCGTCTGTCTTACTCTCTCTCTCTCTCTCTCTCTCTCTCTCTCTCTCTCTCTCTCTCTCTCTCTCTCTCTCTCTCTCTCTCTCTCTCTCTCCAGTGCATCCTTTTCACTTCTTCTCACTCCTTCCCCTCTGGCCTTTCCTTTAGTCACTGAATAACCACACGATGAGTGATGTAAAATAAAGCTGGAGAGCCAGACTTATTGTAAGAACCAATCAGATTACTCCACAGAATTGATAACGTTATCCCCCCCACACACATACACCCCCCTTCTTGATGGATTTCTGTCAACAATGAGATTTGTGTAGAACGAATCAGTTTAAGGGGCTGAACTTATTGAGCGGATTGACGTTTGGTTCGGTGCGAGGGGCTTTAAGTCAACGTGTTTAGGTTGTGATGAGACTACACCTCGAGTGGCTAGAAGCTGGATGCTTCCCTCCCCTAACCATGCCTTCTGTCTTTCTCCTCACAGATCTCAAAGGTTCCTGGCACAATGGGACTCCTGACCCTCTGAAGGGTGAGCACAAACGATCGAAGGGGAAGGGGAAGAAAAAAGCCAGGGGAGGGGGAAAAGAGGAGGAGGAGGAGGATTTTTTTTTAGACCTGGCGGAGAAGGAGATTTCAAAGGAGGGATTTGCTCTATCTGTTGGTGGTGTATGCTCCCTCTAGTCCCCCCTCCCATTTGGACATCCTCCTTTTTATTGTGTTTTCTGCATCAGTGACAAACCGACAAAAGGCAAAGAATGCACTGCAGACTGAGTTTGGGATGCCCCAGGGTGAGTGTAGGCCTCGATGTGAGACTACCCAGGACTAGAGCCTTGCTGCTGGGCTTGCTCCTCACCCTGCTGGGCTGGCTCCCTCCACCAGCCTATGCAGAGGTGGAGATCGATGTGCTGGGTGAGATGGTGTTAATGGAAGCAGGTGGAGAAAGTGAGAGGGGACAGGGAAGAAGCGAGCTGGAGGCCTCCATGCACTCCTCGCTCCTTGGGGACTTCCAGGAAGTGATAGAAAGCATCCGAGCCGCAGAGACTGGTGACACGGCTGCGACTCAGCAGAACGAGGCGACACCCACCGCCTTCCCAGACTCCTCAGCAGTGGTGGGTCGGATCTTCCAGATGAAGGTGCCAAACAAGACGGAGGACGTTTCCCTGGGCGATATTGTCCAGGTGAGTCCCAGCATCACCATTTCACTCTCACAGTGTCCACATTAACCCTTTGTCTTTGCTGACACTGGCTTTATACTCTTACTGTTTCAAGCACCACAAACCCCAAATTATGAATACGTGCAAAAACAAGTATGTTCCTTTAAATGTTTCTTTTTTCTTCTGACTGTATGTAGAGTCAGACTCTTTGACTCAGCCTGAGCGTGCACATTTCATAAAGGTGACAAAACTCATAAATGACCAAAAAGCACTGAAGTAAGGAACTGTTTTATATGTGCACATGTACCTTACTTCTGTTTGTCAAGCAGGTATTTAAAGGTGTCACATGGTGTGCTGCAGACTGCTCTGTCTCCTCTCTCTGGCCCTTCTCCAGCCTAATCCCACCTATTCATCCTCCCTGCTCTTCTTTGTGCCATTCATCTTCATCTCCATACTCTGACTTTACCTCTAGCTACAATTTTAATTCATCCCTTTCTTCCCCCCATCGCTACACTTTCACAGCCAGCCTGTTCTCGTTCCTCGTTCAGCCCACATCCTCCCAGCATCCATTTCCCTCTCTCCAGGCTGAACCTTTAATATTGTACACTCCTTCCTGTCCTTCATCTTCCTCCCACTGTCTCTGTGCAGTCATCATTCTCACCTTCCTGTCCGTCCGTCCTGCTCTTTCTGCTTTCTTTTAATTATGTTCGCTTTTCTCTCCAGCCCTCCTTCTCTTCTACTTTCCCTTTGTCTCCCTCCATCACATTCCAGCTTGCTCTCCTCTTCTCCTTCCTTCGATGGTTTGTCCTATCTCTCTCTCATTATCTGTTCCTCCCTTTGCTTCTTTCTGCCACCTGTCAAATCACATCATTAATCTTAATGTTTCCATACAGTTTACAGATGAGCGAACAAGGCTGTTTGCAGGATGTAAGCTGACTGGGGCTGACTTGATGTGGTTTGCCGGCACACAACGGGTGCCGTGTGTGGTCGGGACATGATGTACTGATGAGCCACAACATCAGGACTGTGCACAGAAGAAGCACTGATGATTTTTTAACAGCAGTGCATGTCAAGGTCTGGCATTTATTACATGGTAGGTTGGTTCTTGGAGAAATGGGCCTGAGAGACTCTGACAAGGGCCAAGTCCTCAGGACCGGGTGAGCTGGTCGGAGGACGGACCAACCAGCAACAGCATGCTGGGGGATGTGTTGGATTTAGTCTGATCTGCCACAGCTCCACCTCCTAAATACAGGCCTCAGAGGATCTGCTGCTAACATCTTGGTACCAGTTACCACAGGACACCTTCAGAGCTCGTGGTCGGTCAGAGCTGTTTTGGTGGCGCATGAGGGACCAGTGGCGTATTAAGCAGGGTCATAATGTTTTGGCCCTTCTGTGCATGTTTCAGGTGACCCACTGGGTCAGCTGCCTGGTTTATCTAAGCTTGTGAAGATTAGGAGAGACTGAGGTGGAGTTAGCTCTTCTAACCATCATTTTGTGAGTGTGTTCTTTAAGCGTGGCACCTTTGTGTGTCATCACATCTTAGCACCTCTCCTCTTTTCTTTCCTTTCCCCCACAATCCTTTCTTTCCTCCTGACCACCTCCTGCTCCTCTCCTGTCCCCTCTATTTATTTTTAACCCTGTAGCTCATCCTCCTCTCACCTTTTCCATCACACTGTCCACCTCTTCCTTTGTCTTTCCTCCCCCTTCTCCACATGCCCCACAAGCAAAAGCTGCTCCTCCAAGCCTGATTACTGTCACACTGTAAGCTGTGGGACTGTCTATTAGAGCCAATGGGAGTTGACAGCATGGGTAAAGAAGCCAAAAAGTATGGGCCAAGTGGTGGGAGTGGAGCAAAGATGAGGGAGGAGACGGGCTGGAGGTGGTGTGGAGACAGAAACAGATAAGGAGACACAGAAACGGAGGGAGGCATGAACGGAGAATAGGATCTTGACCTTAACAGCAGCAGGACCAGCTTTTTTTTTTAAACTACCATGTAAATAAAAGGTCATAGATTGGATCAAGACAGTGTCCGTACATCGTCCTATTGAAGCGTCTCTGTGAAAGGCTCAGTACCTTCGTCCTTTACTCTGTCAGCCAATACAACTTCAAGACAGTTTGTTTACTTCCCCCTCCATTTCTAATTTCAGTCCTACTTCCTCTTCCTCTCCTGTTCTGTTTGCTATTGCAGATTTCAGCACTTTCCCCCATGTCCGGCCTTCCCCTTCTCTTTAGATGTGTTTCCCTCCAGGTGTTCCAAAGGTCGGCGCTGAAGGTTGTGGAGCAAAAGGCCAAATCAATTTTTGTGCTCGATGCCGGACTCATACTAATGACCTTTTCTTAAGAAAATCTGCCACAGTTTGAGAGGTCTCTAGCTCCGTGACAGCCGCCTGCCCATTCACCTTTCGCTGAGCGGTCTGAGCCCCGTCACTGAATATACCACCGTTTATCTATTCGTGCTGCACAGGGCTGAGGATTCTCAGCCAGGGAGCAGGACATCAACCTCAGAGGAGGAGGAGGCTTTTAAGAGGTCCCAGGGTGATGTAACCACACAGAAAACAGAGTTTATAGTCTGACACATGCATGTTGTTTAAACACAGCATCTGCTGTAATGGTCATGTTGTCTTATCAGGCTGTAGGCGTCTTTACCTTTAAGGTTAAGTTGACTATTCCTTCATCAAGGGATAAAGCAAATTGGTGATAACACCAATCTGATCCACTGGATGGGTAGCGAGACTCAGTATGGTTTTAATACCAATCAAAATGGGTCTGTGGTGGCAAGAAGGATCAGAATCTGTCCCAGACTTTGATTTGGCCTGCAATGTCTGGTCAGACTTGTGGTAATAAAACACACTGTAGCTACTTTGATCAGATGGTTCCTGACTGAAGTCATGACGCTGACAGTCTCAGACTATTTTTCCAGGAGTGTTCTTGTAAAGCTTCTTGTGGTTAAACGACATCAACAAAGCTATTTAAAAGGCTGATATCACATATAAAAACTATGACTTTGATATTGACACTGAGAGTAAAAATGTGTATCTGTCCCAGTTTCACCATTATAGTGACGTATATCCCAGATGTGGTGGTTGGTAAAAGACAGTAGAAATGCAGAACTTTGAACCCAGGCCTTGCAGGTTCAGGTAAAGGGAAGCTCTTGGCTGCAGGTCAGTGAGTAAACCGATCAGGGAGCTGGTGCTGCAGCGGTGGGGGGGTTAATACAATCTCATCGCCTGAATGTGAACCTCCAGCCTGGCACCTACACGGTGGTGATGGTGGTTGGTCACATTCTGTTAAAATATCATTAGTGGCAGCTGTGGCTCAGCGGATAGAGCGGGCTGTCTCCTGATCAGGATGTTGGCGGTTTGATTCCTGGTCTCCCCAGTCCACATGTCGAAGTGTCCTTGGGCAAGACAGTGAAGCCCAAGCTGCTCCCAGTGGCCAGGGCAGCGCCACTATTGGTGTGTGTAAATAATGGCTCCATAGATGGCTGCCTTGGTCGAACGCTCTCTCTAGTGGAGAGCCTCTGTTCCTGGTGTGTGATGAACATACTTGGCCAATAACGGGATTAACATGTAGGTTTTGTCCCTGCACTCCTTCACCAGAACAGTTCAGGCAGATGATTGTGGTTCCAGCTAACCTTGTCTGAATGATGTGAGAATTTTTAGTCTTGGAATAAATGAGAAGGTTTGGAAGCTGCTAACTACAACATCCCCAGCTACAGAGCTGACTGAGCCCTCTATGGACACAGGGCGACAGTGTCGAGGCTGCAGCATCTGCTGACACTGAAATATCATCTACCGTTATTAATGGCAGTGTCTGCAAGCATGGAGTTTCTGGCCAACCGACGAGCACCCTCCATAGCCTCATTAGCACAGTTACCAGTATAATTAGCTGACTGGCTGCTGGGATGGCTGGCAGGCGAGTGCGCCCCCTGCCTTTTGTTTCCTGTCCTCTCTCATTCCAGGAAATAACTGAAAAATCTTTTGTACTTGTAAAAAGAGAATGTGTGTGTGTAAAAGTATGTGTTGTGTATTCCTGTGTGAGTATCTTGATGGATGGTGACATCATCCGGGCAAGGGGTCTACATTGACCAACCACATACGAGGACAATCGGGACGTAGATGCTCATGGGAAGGAGACTCCTTTGTTTACCTTGTTAGCATGAGCATCCACTGCTGTTCACTGTTGAACCTGGGCCATAGTTAACGCACCATAACACCACGCCGTGCATTTTCATTAGTACTGGATGTTAAATGGTTTTTTTCATCTACCAGTGCCGACACACTGGTGGTAGAACTGGTGCTACGTTAGCAGCATGGCTAACCAAAACACAACGGAGACTCACGGGCTGGAAACGGTCACTCTGACAGAGACAGGCGCTGTGTGCGTGTTTGCACCAACCAGCACACGTGCGCGTTGTGTGGCTGTCAGATCACACTGACTGGCTGCATGGATCCCTCGTCCCCTCTTGATGAACAGAGACAGTGGCTTGCTGTTGGGACA